ATAATTTAGAAGTCTTGAAAACAGTTTCTGTGGTCTTGAATTCTCCTTAAGATGGCACCAGGCAGATAATTCCCAGAAGCAGTCACGAAGTGTTATTTCCTGGAGAGATAAATGAACTGAGCAGTAAGTGTTCTCATGACATATTATTCAACACTATGAGGCTAATTGATTCTTGGAATATATAATTTAGACTGACTAGAACTCTTTTCTAAAAAATAAAATACTCGTCTACACTGTAAAAATAATAAATGAACTGAGCGGTAAGTGTTCTCATGACTTGTATTATTCAATACTATGAGGCTAATTGATTCTTGGAATCTTGGAATATATAATTTAGACTAACTAGAACTCTTTTCTAAAAAAGTAAGACACTCGTCTACACTGTAACAGACATCCAGTGCTAGGTAACGGAACTGTAAACATGTGGCTATAATAATATGCGAAAAGAATGAAAGGTGTTTCTATGGGGTCCAGCTGCATCTATATAACGAGTCTGTAGCTAAGAGATTAGAGAGAGAGAGATTCATCAGACAAACATCGTTCAAGGCAGTGAGAGATTCTTCAGAGATTCATCAGACAGAAGTTGTAATTCATCCATAACAGAATTCAGGAGGAATTCAATGTGTGAGCTGTTACAAATAACTGTAATTATAAAGAAGTGTCAATAAATCCAATCATCAAATCCAGAACCCATTATTATTAGTCATGCTAACCCTGTACACATGACAATATGAATGTCATGTCATTGAGGCCAACCCACATTCATATTTTTTTATTCCCTATGACAAAACACCAATATATGTGCAAAATGAGCTACTGAAGAGGGACAGCAATATTAGCACTACTTAAGTATTAGACCCCAGATTTTTCAAGGTCATGGTGCACAGGATATTCAGACTTTCTGGCTGTGTCAGTCATCAGTCTGTCCTAAAGCAGCAGTGCACAAACTTGATTGCATCTGATCAAATTTGGCTTTATATACGCACATACGTACATACATACATACATACATAGCTTCACAGATCCGTTGCCTGTATTGGGCCGGATATTGAGCTCGTCAGATTAATTAAAAGTAGTTGCAATATGCAATCAAGTCCAAATAGACACAACCTAGATACAATAGGAATATAATACAATTAGGTATTTGCCATATATTCATCAATAGAATAGAAAGCTTTCAAGATAAGAAAGTCTTTCAATTTTTGTTTAAATAAATTAACATTATCCTTTAAAATATATAATTTATGTGGCAAATTATTAAAAAATTTTATGTATGTATAATACACTTCCTTTTATATAATCGATAGTCTAGTTGATGTGACGTGTAGTCTATTTTGTACTCTTAGTGTTAATTTTATGTACACTATTATTTGTAGGATAATTATTTTCGTTTTCAATTACAAACATGACCATGGCAAATATAAACAACCAGGGAACTGTAAGTATCCCTAATTCTCTGAAAACCTCTCCACAAGAACTTCTTGGCCTCATCATTAACACTGCTCTAATTGCTCTTTTCTGAGCCACAAAAACTCTTTTCATTGATGACGAAGAAGAGCCCCAGAAAATAACACCATATTTAAGTTGAGCTTGACAGTAAGCACAATAAGCCATTTTCAACACTTGCCTACTTACTATAGGCCATAGTTTTCTAAGCACAAAGGTTGCAACACTCAACTTATTTATCACTTCATCAGAGTATTTTTCCCAGCCTAAATGACTGTCCAGGCACACACCTAAAAACTTAACATTTACAGAAAATTTAAGTGTTTGGTCATTATATTTTATGTGTAATGGATAGTCCGTGGCCTTAGGGGTCATAAATTTCATTACATGGTTTTTTTTTTAATTTACTATTAATTGGTTAGCTTGGAACCATCTATATAAATGTCTCATAACTAAATTAATTTCGTTATTAAGGCTACTAATATCCTGTGAAGAGACAATAAAAGTGGAGTCGTCAGCATATAAAACCGTATGTGCCAACCCATTTAGAATTCTAGGCAAATCATTAATATATACATTGAACAACAAAGGTCCCAGTACAGATCCCTGCGGAACTCCATCTTTGGTTGTTTTCCATTTAGAAACATATGTAGTTGAGTCTTGAGTCTGCAGTATGATTCTTTGCTTCCTGTTATATAGGTATGTTTCAAGCACTTTTAGTAGGGATCCTTTTATTCCATAGTGTTTCAATTTTTGGACAAGCAGTTCATGATTGACACAGCACTTCATCAAGACATTTTGATTTAACGTGGTTCATTCTAAGGATCACTTTATTTAAGGACATAAAGAAACTTCTAGTATCTTAGAAAATTGCATAAATAATAGAGAAAATGCTAGCAAGTAAATAAGTTTGTTCTTACTGCAAGATATTTATTAAGTATATTAAAGACACTTCTTGGGTTGCTGCACAATTGGCAGCTTCTCAATAAGGGTTTGGATCCATGAGTGAGGGAGCAAGTACTCAAAACACTTGAGGGAGGTGCTACGAGACAAATGTAAGCATACTCTGGAACACTGACCACTGTTTACTTCAACTGTTCAAATCCTTAATTACTGTTATTCTTTAAATATGGTCTTGCCAACTTTACTACTACAGTCAACTCTTGATTATCCGGGGGCGGCTTAACCGGGGCTACAGAGGCTTTTTTGAGGCTTATATGTTGTTTAATATTCATTCACTTTTGTTTCACATGGAGAGTTGTAACACTATTTTCGCACTAGTGTGAACCGAGCTCTGCATTCTTTGGTCCCGTTATGCTAACACAATGTTCTAGGGTAGGGGTGAAAGAATGCAAGGATTTGTGGAAAGTTTCAAGGACAGATACTTAGTTTCTTTGTATCGATCTTCAAGTGCGTTAGCAAAATGTCACAGCATAAAAGGAAGCGTGTTGTGTTAAGTATTCAACAGAAAAAGGAAAATGCCGCGAAAAAGTAAACGACAATATTAAATTTTTTTTAAGTGTTAAGTGTGAATATTCGTAAAATGTGTTGGATGTTGTTGAAGACTGTGATTGAAATAACTAATTCATACTTCAGTGTAATGTAAAAAAAGTAATAAATAGGCCATGAGATGACATAAAAATGAGGTTGAATAAATTTAAATACAGGTAGGCCTATAGTATTATGAAGGTACAGTATTACAGTACTACTCTTAATAAAATTTGTCTTAACCGGGTTTTCGATTAATCATGATTTCCATCCCCACCATTATCCCAGATAACCGAGAGTTGACTGTATTTCTTTCAACAGAGCATTTGAAGCTGCAACAGCCGATGACCTTTTTGATGCACTAGCCACACAGGCAGATGCTGACAACATTTTCCAAAATGACACTGATTTGAATGTTAAAACCATCCTGAAGTCCTGGACTGAACAAGCAGGGTATCCTTACATCACTGTACAAAGAACAGAAAATGGCATTCACATCAGTCAGGTAAGTCACATATTCAATAGTACTAGCACTTACTGAAGTCACTCATATTTTTCTTACATGTGGCAATAAATAAGTAAATCCAGACACCGTTTCTAGTCACTAACATGTGACAATATGCATACTGGTGAGATGGCAAGGAAGAAAGTCTGTACCTCAGTAACAGCCCTAATATACTTAAGAAGGAAAACTGCATTAAATACTTTGTTCAGTTTATAAATTTATTAGCACAAGTAGCCATGATACTGACCCATATTTGTAAGGTACTCATGTTAAGTCTTGAGAGATACTGGCTCTCATGACTCAAGTTCTTCAAGGACTTCCTGACTCTTGACTCAGGCTTTCCTTGGTCCTCCAATGCCATTGCCAAGTACCCTTTCTCCCCTCCTATCTCATAATGCTGTAATTGGCTTTCTACTCCCTTCCCCTCCTTACTGGAATGAGAACATTGGAAGCAGGTCCAAAATATTAATCATTCGGGGTTTGAGATTTGCACTGACTGTCACTCAGGTAGGAGAAGGTAGTCATATGTTTTTGTGGACAGAGAGAAGTTTGTTTCAGATTCTAGTGGTCTGTTGTTCTCCCTGAGGGCCAGGGCCACTTTCAGCAGCAGCAAAGGACTGAACTTGTTACACTGCATCATGGCCAGTATTTAAATTCTGTTTAGATTCTGAACTGTTTAAATAGTTATCATGCATAGGCTGTCCAGTTTTACTAATTATTGACAATACAAGTATTAGTAAAACTGGACAGCCTATGCATGATAACTATTTAAATTATATGTCCTCAATGTTCACGAGTCCGCTGTCAAATATTCGACCTAAGCATGCCTCTACCCATGAGATAGAAGGAATCATCAAATCCTTAAATCAAATCCTCCCATGGTTATGATGAGATACCTGTCACAATATTGAAAGCTAGTGCCCTATTTATTAGTTCTCCGCTAACATATATTGTAAATAAATCTCTTTCTTCAGGAATTTACCCAACTAGACTGAAATTTTCAATAGTAAAACCAGTATTTAAAAGTGGGGATAAACTTAACATCTCTAACTATAGACCAATATCTTTGTTACCGGCTTTCTCTAAGGTATTTGAAAAGGTTATATATTCAAGGCTTAACCAGCATCTAATACAAAATAAGATACTTGCTAGTGATCAATATGGATTTAGAAAAAACTCTACAACAAATAGGGCCTCTTTTAAATTATTAAATGAAATTTTAGTAGCCATGAACAATAAATTAACTATTGGGGGCATTTTCTGTGACCTGAAGAAAGCATTTGACTGTGTTAACCACGAAATATTTTTAAATAAACTGGGATACTATGGGATAAATGGAGTATTTAAAAAATTAATCAAGTCTTATTTGAACAATAGATACCAAAAGGTAGTATTAAATAATAGGACAACCTATAATACCACCTTTTCTGATTGGGAGATCATCAAATATGGTGTCCCACAAGGCTCTATATTAGGTCCTTTATTTTTCTTATTGTATATTAATGACTTACCCAAAGTAATAACAAATAATGCGAAGATTATTTTATTCGCTGACGATACTAGTATCATAATATCCGATTCGAGCCCTCATAATTTGGAAATTAATATGAATAAACAATTCTTAGCCATAAACAAATGGTTTGAAGCTAACCTGCTATCCTTAAATTTTAATAAAACCCACCATCTCCTGTTCAGGACTAAAAATAGTTTGGTAACAGACATAAGCATATATCATCAAAATAAGAATATCACTAATGTGCCAAATATTAAGTTTCTAGGTATTTATATTGATGAAACATTATCATGGAAGTCTCATATTGATAAATTAGTAATTAAAATGAGTGCAGCTTGCTATGCAATTAGAACTGTAAGAGGTCTCATGTCACAGGAAACCCTAAGGATGATCTACTTTGCCTATGTGCATACTATCATGGAATATGGGATAATTTTCTGGGGTAGCTCAGCAACTAGTATAAATGTTTTCAGAATGCAAAAGCGGATCATTAGAACTATTATGAATGTAAGAACTAGAGACTCATGTAGGGAACTATTCAAAAACCTAAAAATATTACCAATGTACTCACAGTATATATACTCTATAATTCTGTTTGTTGTAAATAATAGAGACCTATACAGTTCAAACTATGAGACCCACAATCTCAATACTAGACATACCACAAATTTGCACCTTCCCACATCACGCCTAACAATCTTTCAGAAAGGACCATATTATTTTGGTATTAAGGCTTATAACCACCTGCCATCCAGAATCAAGAGTATGAGTAATGATGTGAAACTATTTAAACTGAGGCTAAAAAGATTTTTTCTTTCAAATTCTTTTTATTCCTTAGAGGAATATTTTAACCATGTATGTAATTAAAATTGGTAATTGTACCCCTGATATGTTATAATTTTATATCATTACCTAAGTACTTTGTATCAATTATTGTTTATAATTTTGATCATTTTTTGCATTGTACATTAATATAAATCTTTTAACTGTCTTAATGACAAAAGTATGTATGTAGTTTTTGTATTTGTGTATTTTAATCTATTAGCTTGGTACAAAATCCATATCCACTGGTCAGCTCTACCATAAGGATCAACGGAATGTATAAATGTAAATAAATAAATAAATAAACCACCCACAGCAATTTCCACCCTTCCTTTTGTTACAGATATGATCAGACTCACTTTTTAACATTGCTTGTACTGAAAGAAAGCAGTCTTCTGGGATTTGGCACCGTGTATATGTGGTGTTAACCGACATTTCGGAGGAACGTATCACCTCCATCCCTGAAGATGGAGGCGATACGTTCCTCCGAAACGTTGGTTAACACCACATATACAAGTACACGGTGCCAAATCCCAGAAGACTGCTTTCTTCATAGTCACCGCCGTGAAAGCCTCAAATCTTACATTGCTTGTACTGTTTCAGTTTTGTTGTACTGCCTTCATATATCCATAATCAACCATTTTGTGATAAGTGAAATAGATTATTGCTGTTCAGATCCACGTAACTAATTATGGGTACTGTATATAAAACTTGGGAGTAGAGAGCTCAGTTGGTATAGTGACAGGTTGAACATCCAGAATTCTTTACTGACCAGCAGGATATAACCTAAATATAGCGCAACTTTGCTCTGGCATACATGAAGGTACTTTTTACACTTTAAGGCAACTGCCATTTAACGTCATCACTACATTTCACATACAAATTAACAGTACTTCCAGCTTTCTCACATTTCATCATGAAAACAGATACTAATTGAATCTTCTTTCACAGAAAAAATTCCTAATCAGTGGAGAGACTGAAGAAGAGCCAGCAACAACTTGGTGGGTGCCCATCACATACACTACAAATAACAGTATCGACTTTGAAAACACTGCACCAAAAGTGTGGCTAAGAAATATAAGCGAAGATGATATAGAACTTACACTTGCTGACAATGAATGGGTTATTCTTAACATTCAAGAAACAGGTATGAAACTAAAAACAAATAGCATGACTCTGTGTGTGCTTTCATGTACCCCCAAATCACCTCCATTATATAAACGTGAATGTGAATGCCATGATAATAGACACCACTACACCTACTTCATTTCCATTTCCTTACCGTCACCAACACCATAACATAGATATACAGGGTGTCCCAGGAGGAATGGACCAAACTTGGTGAGGGTGTTCCTTATGTTAAAGTATACCGATATAACCCAAAACACCTATGTCCAAAGTTGAACGGTTACGGAGATAATGGCCCAAGAAAAGTGTGGTCTCCTGGCAGGTCCACGCACTGTACCTCTCAGCTGAGAGGCCTTATCTATGTTTGTCCTTGAGTGCCGTGATTCACCCTAGCCGTACGTATGTAGTTGACTTATACCAGAACGCGCAGTCAGCAGTTACGTCAGCGCTTGCCATTCATGTGTCATGTATAGTGCTTGGAAACCCTAAGGACAATTATGACATGGCGAGCGAGTATTTTGTACTTCAATTTTATGGCTTCATATCACTCACAAGTTAGTTTGATGTTACGTACATTATTAACATTACAGAATCCACATATTCCTGCCAGTTTTAATATGTATTTTGTAATCAACAAGTGTGTAACGCCGGTCAAAGTTTGACACTTCTCTGGCCATTATCTCCGTAACTGTTCAACTTTGGACATAGGTGTTTTGTGTTATATCGGCATACTTTAACATAAGGAACACCCTCCCGAAGTTTGGTCCATTCCTCCTGGGACACTCTGTACGTATATATTTCCTCCAAATACGCTTTTGATGCAAACTTTCTTATTCTTGGTATTCTGAACACAAAAAAAAATGAACATGTGCCTAATTACAGCCATGATACAACACAACTGAAAGTATGATAGAATATTGATGGGCACAATAGTGAAGGGAAAATTACAGAGTAACATTTTTGGTAATAAAAAGAGAATAAATATTCACCTACATATCTCCAAAGTTGTTTAATTGCTGTGGTGAATGAATTTTGGTGGGAGATTTTAACAGACATCATCCTAACCACTGATTAAATTTTATCTAAATCTGAGATTTAATAAACTATCTGTCCTTTTACAAAAGAAGGGGTGGGAAATTCAAATATGCCATTAGCTGAAAACTGTATCTGAGTCTGCTTTCCTACTGTCATTACATCATGAATTAGCTCTCTGACACCTTCTAATCCAGAATTCTAAAAAATGTGGTAAATTAGGGACAAAAATTTGCAATATGAGTCCACTATTCATACTTCCACTCCCTTGACTGTCTTTCTGGTTTCATTGCAGCATTTTATCGTGTGATTTACGATGATGTGAACTACGAGCTTCTGAAAGATTACCTCAATTCCGATAACTATATAAACATCCACCCTCTGAATAGAGCACAGCTGCTGGATGATTCTCTGTATCTTGCCCGAGCTGGTCTCCTAAGCTACTCCACAGCCCTTGACCTAACCACATATCTAGCTGCTGAAACCGATTTCGTCCCATGGGTATCATTCTACAGGGCTCTCACATTCCTCAACACAAGATTTGCTGGAACTGAAGATTATGATTTATTCAAGGTATCGCAATCAGCTTAGTGTCACTGTAGTATAATAGATGCAGTTGCACTCCACAGACTGCAGCATGCAGGGTATAAGACAAGTCAGAATACAAGATATGACATTCAGAAAATACTTAGAAATACAATACAAATACAGAAAAATTCCTAGGAATAAGATATACAACAGGTTAAATTGCATATACAATTGCATTATTAAAGATTACATATATATTTTAAAGCATATTGAAAGAGTAGTAAAATTTCACTGTACTTAAAATAGTTTGTTATCAGATTAATATACTAAGTGAACAAATTACTAACCAACTCCATGGAGCCACGCCCTTCTTGAAACGCCACCGGTCATTTAGACACTCAAGAACTTGTCAAAATTTTATGGAATCTGAAGGTTCATTAACATGTTCACAAGAGTCCTCCACTGGTCCCTAACCCTGGGACGGATCAATTAAATGAAAATTAAGGTGATAAAAAACCTCTCCCCCTCACATCAGTTAGAAATAGATAAACTTCCTTAAAACTTCATCATAATTAATAACACAAAATTTGTAGACCAAAACAAAAATGCCCACTGCTGTTGTAATTCCTAAGACAGTATTTGCACTGTTATATAACATGATTAGCCATGATATGAACAAAACATATGTAAAAGTCAATTTGCATGTAACAAAAAGCAAAAAAAGAAAAAAGGGTTTGTAAATTATGAAACAATTAAAATCAAGTTGGCCTCTAATCACAACCTGGTTCACTGTGCTATTGTACTAGCCCAATTCCCGTGAATGTAATTGACAGCTTCATTCTAGTGGTACACACAAATATGAAACTTCAAGGCTTTGCTCTCAAAACAGCCACAAGCCAATGCTCACATATATTTTGAGAGAATTCAACATAGCTACATATATGGAAATGACACTGCATGTCTTTTCTTCAATCAGAATACTGAAATAAGAATCAATATATGTTTTCATTTCAGAATTATGTTCTGCAGTTGATACAAAATCTGTATAGATCTGTTGGATTTAATGCATTAGAATATGATGAACATCCCACAAAGTTGATACGAGTCACCACTTTGACTTGGGCTTGTAATTTTAATTATGACCTGTGTCTCAACAGTGCCTCAGCACTATTCAGAACCTGGACAGATAGTACAAGCAGAATTAATAGGTAAGTTAAATACGTCAGTATTATTGTATCTTTAAAAGTGTAGAAGGTTAATGAAGCTAAAATGCAGACTGCCAATATTAGTTTTCATGAAATTTCAATGAAAATCAGAAGCAGTATACATTATTAAATATTAATTAAATACTAGCAGAACTATTCCAAGCAGGAAGAAAGCATTATTTTATGCTGCTGGTTTTCAGGGGCTTGTGAAACGACGGGACAAGTGCCTCAATGTACAGGGAGATTATGTTCAGAAATAAAAGAATTTTTTAAATCAGTACTCTTATTTGCTTAAGTTCCATTTTCATTTGTAACTTACTTATTGACTTACCCTCATATATACCAAATTACAGAAACAGTTTAGAAATTCCTCTGTCTCATAAATTTCTGTCCCAATGCTTGATATTGAATAATACAATCTGATTTTAAAGGTTTACAACAACAATACTCATATGTAAAAATAAACACAACTATATTTCTGACATTGTTCATTCAGCATCTTCGGTCTGTTTAGCTGTAAGGGAGGAGCCTTTCCTCCCCCAAGCTTGATGACAGAAAGGATCCAGGTTCCAAAATATTGCTTTCAAAAGACCCAAGTAATAATCTTGTTTACTAAGTCACAAGCCGGAAGGTAGCGGGATCAAATCCCGATAAGGTCACTGGATTTTTTCAATTGACCTAATCCTTCTAGCCACACTATGGCCCTCGGATCGACTCAGCCTCTAACAGAAATGAGTACCAGGAATATTCTTTGGGGTAAAGGGTGGCCAGCGCATAGGGCTGACAAACTTTCCGCCATCTATGAGCCGACTGTCTAGAAAATGTGGGAACCTCAACATCTCACAATCCTATGGGCCTCCAAGGCCTGATACAGGGATACTTTTACTTACTGTACTAAGTCACATAACATGAATCCTCATGTTACTTACCTGATTTTTAGCTATTTCTAATGATGAATCACTTCATGAAAACCAGTTTTTAAAAAAGGAAGTACATTGAGGACAACAACTTATTAGCATAGAAAACATACCATTCAAAAAAATTCCTAAAATGTATCCAAGTCAGATACGCAAATGGAAAATGTGTATAGCGCTAGGATACCATGTTGAAAATTTGAACATGTATGTTGTTTTCTATTTTCAGAAATAAATACTGTAAACTGGAACTTGGGACTGCCAAATTTCTAAACTTTGTCCATCATCTAGTATTCCAAATTCTGGACAATGGAGAGAGCCCATTTTAGCATCAGAGCTCTTCATAATTAAAATGAAACCTGCTTCTGAAATACATCTCATACATACATGACCTCAAACTATAGCCAAGATCAACACTACGGTGATGGATGGAAGTTCTAACAAAGTATGCTAACTGTTACAGGATTCCACCAGACCTCAGGAGTGTCGTGTATTGTTCAGCTGTAAGCAATGGTGGAGTAGATGAGTGGGCCTTCCTTTATGACGAGTTCTTGAAATCTAAGGTAGCAAGTGACCAGGTTCTCATTCTGTCTGCCCTTGGATGCACAAGAGATGTAACTCTGCTGAGGCAGTAAGTTGGCATAACAAAATTCCCATTAGTAGAACTTAATGAAAATACATATGTATGCAATATCCCTGGACTCCAGGAATACAGATGCAGCCATCATGGGTGAGCCAACAGAAACTAGTGGCAAGTACATTTGGCCTTGGTTTAAATGTATCAAAATTAGGTTGAGAAAGCAATTTAAGGAAATTCAATCTTGATATATACATGTAAATCTTTCTATTATGAGTAGGTTCTGTTAAGTAGTTAAATGCATTTAAGTTGTATTTCTAGAGTCCTCCATGAAGTTATTCATATAGTATTTGATTCTTTTTCAATACATTCATGATTAAAATATGTTTACATGGATCACAACCTCAGAGGTCAACATATACATTCATATTCATATTTAATGTGTCTTCCAGAGACCTATGTACACAGATATAGAATCCGTCATTGTTTATACTAGATAACAAAATAATAATAATAAGATATTTAATCATACGAAAGGCATTCCGTATATAATGCTTCATATTTTTTTGTGTTAATATGTAACATCTGAGTTGGATGTTGGTGGTGTTCTAGTAAAGGTTGAACCTTCCCGCCAATGTACTGTTAGTTTAGTTGTCATGCGACAGATAGCAACAGCAGAGCAGTCTGCCAAATTGGCATCTGACATAGAAGTGCATACAAAAGAAAGATGTGTTACTGAATTTCTCACTGCCAAACAAATTGCACCCACTGACATCCATCGACACTTGCTAAAGGTGTACGGAGAAGATACAGTGGATGTCAGCACAATGAGGTGGTGGGTAGTGCGTTTCAACAGTGGTGAAAGTGAAGTGCACGATAAGCCACGCCCTGGGCGTTCCTTCTCAGCTGCCACTTCTCACAATGAACAGCACCTCGATCCTGGAGCCTGGTGAGACTGTCAATTCTGAACGCTACAAGACGACGCTGACTACGCTGAAAGCCCGCATTTCCCGAGTCAGGCCAGCAAAGCAGACAACCTTTCGCTTGCAACACGATAACACTAGAGCCCATACCAGTTTGGCGACCACCACACACATTGCAAAGTTTGGCTGGACTGTCCTACCACATCCAATTTATAGCCCTGATTTAGCACCTTCAGACTTCCATTTCTTTGGGCCTATGAGAGATGGACTACGTGGGCAACATTCTCCAGACAATGATGCTATCATTGCAGCTGTAAGAAAGTGGCTTGCCTCTGGTGGCGCAGACTTTTATGAGTGCGGCATACAGGCTCTTGTTCATCGCTGGCAAAATTGCATAACGAATGGTTGTGATTATGTGGAAAAATAACTGTAAGTAGCTGAAATCTTGCTCTATTTAACTGCGTTATGCTTTCTGTATCTGTTGTAGTTCTCATTAAAATAAACAGGAGGCATTATATACGGAACGCTCCCCGTACAATACAAATCTGACTAGATATCATAAAGTATAAATCATACATATGCATCTATGATAGGCCACATATAATGTATCATTCACTATGCAAGGTAAGACTATAATAAAATAATTGATCATACAGCGTAAATCTGACTGTACATAACTGCTGGTATTCCATGGCCATGGTAATATAGAGGCATGAACCATCAACATGTATTAAATATAGACTTTTACTGCACATAAAAATCTAAAAAAAACACACACACACATTTTAGTAAAATAAAATTTGAATTCATTACAATCTCTTCAGAATCATCAATAGTTATTTTCACTACAATCATGTCAGCATGAGTACTGGCACTGCTTTCTCCAAAATTTAGTGTCTATATAACTAAACTCCATCACACAACCACGGCTTTACAAAAACAGATCACTTATTTCACAGTTCTAACACTAGAAGTTACGATAGAACTGGATGATTCCAAAATCTCCAACAGAGAGATTAACAGACTAAGTAGTGCCAATAAAGATAGTTTTCCTTGTGCTTAATTAAGCACCACAACATAGAACACATGGGAGAGTAGAAGGAAAACTGCATGTATTCCTAACCTTAGCATTAAACTGAAGCGATTGGTCAGCTTCACACCCCAGCTGTTTTACCTTCAGGCAAAGGGCCTCAGTTCCCATTTGTTAGGAAGCTGGGTGGCCCCATCTGGACACGTGCAGAGAAGAGAAAATTCTGTTCCTGCTAAAAATAAAATTCTGACTCCCCGGTCATCCAGCCCATTGCCTAGTCACTATACTGGCTGAGTTATCCAGGTACAAATTATCGTGAACAACATTACTGTGGGATTTACGGATCTCACAGTAGTGGCTATGAAGAGTTCTATCTTTGGAAATGTAACATCACGATATCTGTTGAAAATCAACCAACGTTTTACTTGAATTTTGCTTCCATCTTCAGGGTCAAAGAATAAGTCAAGCATGAAACCAGGAAGAAGCAGGTAGCAAGTTACATGCTGGTTCCTTGCTTGGTTTATTCTTTAATGTTGAAGACTGAGACATGTTCCTCCAAAACATCAGCTAATTTTCGACAGATTGCAGAGCATTATATCCCAGAAGACGGAAATCTTAACAGCAACAGTGTTGTTGCTACCATTTAAAATCATTATCACTTTACTTTAAGGGAAACCTTGACACGTGTGTGCAATTTCAACCCAGAAAAACGACATAGTGTACCTGTTAGTTTCTTTTTTCAGGTATCTTACTATTGCCATCACACCAGAATCAAAAATCAGATTGCAAGATGCACAGACTGTTTTCTCTGCAGTGTACAGCAGACCAGAAGGAGTTGATGTGGCATTCGATTTCCTCTCAAATAATTTTGTTGCAGTTCAACAATAGTAAGTCACAGCTTCTACAAATATCCAATCTGCATAAATCTTTCAATTAAATGCATTTTATCACATATTAAGCTTATTTATTATGTGACAGTGACATGGGACTATGGAACCATGGACTAGGATAGACAGAAAAATAATTTGAGAATTCAATAAGAAGTTCTGGAAAGAATTAATCGCTTACTTTCCTTTGATATGATGAGGATAACATAGAAAGTGGTGCCTCCTACAATTCTGTAGTCACAGGAATATGTTTACTGCACCACTGCCTAGCAATGGTATGGGGATACACAGACACACAGACTCCGCATTTATACGAAATTGACCGCATAGAAAATGACATGCTGACACGCCTTTCATTGTCATATGTATTCAATTTCCGTGGAAACGTATTTACGAAGCCGTTGCCTAGCAACGAGAGGGAGAATACTCATACATACACAAACTGACAGGAAGTATTTATGAAGCATGCCAATGAGAAGGGCTCAGATGCCGTAATATAAATACCAAGTTTCATAAAGATTAGTTATATGCATTCAGAAATTGTGGGGGAGGGTACATATATAGATATACAGACACACAGACACATGTGTATGTGTATGTATGTGTGTAAGGGGTGGGCCAGGGCTGCACAATAGCTGAAGCGGTTAGTCGCTGGCTTCCTACCGCGGCGACCTAGGTTCGATCCTGGGTCTGGTCAACTGGGAGCTGTGGTGGACAAAGTGGCACTGGGGCAGGTTTTCTCCGAGTACTTCAGTTTCCCCTGCCAATCTTCATTCCACCAATTGCTCCACAATCACCCTCACCTATCGTCTGGGGCTGGTACAATAGGCCAGAAGTGGCTGCAGTACATGGGACTTAGTCCCACCCCACTAGCAATAAAAAAAAAGTGGTGGGCCATAAAATCCGGCCCTTTCAATGGGACCTTCAATGATCAATTGTGCTTCCCTTTTGGATTAACCTTTTATTAATCCTACACTTCAGATGAAATGTAGGACTTTATTTATGGGGGCATCATGAAAGTTACTTGGTTCCATGAAGAACTGACCCAGGTGACATCTTAAATAAGCTATGGCCTCACAGTCACACAGGGTGTGTGTGGCTGATTTGTCTTCTTGTAGGCACCTTTCACAGGTTGGGATATCTATCAGTCTCAGTTTGAAAAGGTGTCCTTTAGGTGGCAGTGTCTGTAAGTAATCCTACCACCCATCTTAACTGATCTCTGTTTAATTTCAACAGGTCCTTTGTTCTTCTGGCAGAGGGTCCTAATATAAATCCTTTGCCTGTTTGATTACAATTGTGAATTTCCAGTGTTTTTTGTGATTTCTATCTGTCCAGTCCCTAATTGCTTTCTTGGAATGATGATGATAGCATAAACACCTCATTCTTTATAAATTAAGGAAACGAAGTCACAAAACTCTTTTTTACCTAAAATAAGGTATCATTTCCATAGAAATGGGTTAACTTACTCTGAAGAAAGAATGTAAATTTTCAAACAATATTTCATACATCCTATACATATTTATCAATATTACATGTACTCACTTTTCTTGAATGATGGTCAGATCTTGAGAAAATAATATAATTAAACTTGAACTTTGAACTCTATGGTATAGTGGCACGAGTTCCTGGCTAGAGATCCAGAGGTCCCAAGTTAGATTCCCAGCACTACCAGATTCTCTGAGAAGTAGTGGGTCTGGAATGGGGTCCACTCAGCCTCGTGAGGATAACTGAGGAGCAATTTCAAGGAAATAGCAGCTCTGGTCTAGAAAACCAAGATTAACGGCCATGGGGATCTGTTGTGCTGACCTAGTGAGAGCCTCTACCCATAAAAATAGGCACTAACTTCACCGACAAGCGACGTTCGCTCAGTTGTGGACTAAAGACCTCGGAATTTTTTGTTTAAACTTGAACTTCAAGTAAAATAGCAAGCAGGTGGAGGTTACATTAGACCAATAAGAAACAAAATTTGCTATCAGGTATCAGCATATTCTTCCAATACAAATTACCCCAAAATATGTTAATTACTTTCAGAAGTTAAAACATATGGATAGATGGGTGGACATGACATCCCCCATACCATGTATTCCCTTTGTGCAAATAAGGCATACAGAATCTCACATGATATTACCACCATTTTCTATTTCACAGTTTTGCATCTACAAGTGGTCTTAGAAACATCATCTCTGGAATAGCATCTCGAATGACAACACATGCCCAACATCAAAAGGTAAAGGCATGGATTTTATTACTATTTCATTTATAAAAGAATCATGGAAACTTACATATTTCACCATTTTCTACCTCTTTTACTATGATGAAGATAATATTAAAAAAATAACAAAGTACTACAAGAGGCTGATGGGCCATTATTGCAGTGCTCAAAGCATCTCAACAAAGGATACCACTGGGCTAAACAAAACCTGGCTCACATTATTATTTAAGCATTCCCTTCATCAAATGCATGTAATTTTATACAAAAATTGTCTTCTCTCTGAAATAGATAAATATCTCTTAACTATTCTGTCACTCTGCTATTATCAGATTAGTTAATATAGACAATTAGGGGAATTTTCCACCCACTCTGCATTGTAGACATCATGGAAATTCAATGTTGCTACGTCAGGTACAATTACCATTCGATTTCCAAGCAAATTCAGAAATACTATTCAAATATGAAATACTGATACTCCCTGACATGAATATTTTCAGATAAGTTATTTGAATTACAAGATTAGAAATGGTGTAGATCTACTGATGGATGAGCTGAGCAGTTCATTGATAGTGTAAAACTGCACTGGAGGTTGTTAGGAGGTAACACAGGTCTGCAAAAAAATTTTTTTCCAGCTGCATGGAATATTTTTGGTAAACTTTGTTTTCTAGGATGCTGAATCCAAAAATGACCTCAATTTCCCCCTATCACGTACGGTTTCTTGGAAAATAGGGGTTTACAATAAAAAATCAAAACACTGATGAAAAAAAAATCACTAAT